AAGTCAGGGGAAGTTGAAGCCATGAGGAGACCACGCGGAGACCGTCTATTACACCGTACTTCATTGGTGACCTCTCTATGGACTCTGTAGGACACTCTGGCCTTGAAAAACAGGAGTTTGCGCCACTCATGGTTTTCTTGTCCTTTAGCCACTGCAGTGGTTGTCAATTTAAAACTGGCACCTGGAATACTGGGCCTGCAAACAGCCCTCCTCACACATGCTAGGCTAATGGGAGTAGTGCAGTCGTCGCATCACAGTCACATCTTTGGAGAACCTATTCGAAGCTGGAGGAAAAATGAAGAGCATTTCCTCTAGACAGCTTTACCACAGGTGATTCCTCCATTCTGTCCCTTTCTCACTATTCCTCAAGGTAAATCCCTTCACTGAAATGCAAAGGAACAGGACACCTAACCTGGCCTAACTCCTCTCCTGATGGAAGGAGAATGCCCTTCCCTGTGAAGAGAGTGCAGCAAGTCAATCGAACTTCGCTTAATGGATGAAATTACTCACGTTAGCAATTAGTCACATCAGTTTTCATGATCAGGCTCTAATTTTTGTATTGCTTCCTCCACATCCTTGATGATGTGACAAGCTCTTCTCCAGAGAGAGAGAACATTAGGAGATGTAGAGCAGAAGATGATATTTAAAAAGTCACAGCAGGGGCATTTTACTCATTCTGAGATTACTGCATTTTATATCTGTAGGCTTTATCATTCATTGAGTGCTGGTTAAGTCTCTAAAAAACATCTAAAATACTTCAGCTTCAAAATGCAGTCTGTTTATGACTTCCATTACTAGTCAGAAAGTATTTAAGAGGGTCTGATGCACTTCTACAGAGAGTAGGAGGAAATTATGTTTACCACCCTCTTTTTAAGCTGATTTGCAAAGTGCTGTCCTTTCAAATGTCTCCCAGGAACAGATTCTGAGAGAGGATGGTATTATTTTCAAGGCTTATTTTTCTCTTTTTTTTTTTTTCTGCAAAATGCTGCTCTTATTTTCTTTAGTATTTCTATCTTCCTTCTCAGGACATAGTTCTTAATCCCTAAAATAACCAAAAGACAAATTCAGTGCAAGTATCTAGAGGCCTTGGGTTTTGATTTTGTTTCAAAGAATCTATTATTTAAGACTGTCATTTGAGAATAATGCAATTAGACTGTTTATAGTGATTTTTGGAAGAAATACAGTCAATAAAGCTGTGGTGAGATGCATCATCTAAATTACAATATCCTTCATCACCTGATGTATCATCCTATCAAATAGTCTCATGTTCTTGTATTAAGCTCAAGTCAGCTGGTTGAAGAGGAATTTAGGCAGAGGAAAGAGGAAGTTCTTCCCTGACCTTTGAGTAACGACAAAAAAAGTATTCTTCTGCTACACGGTTTTGTAAAAACAGGAGCATTGGCTATCCTTCCTCCTTTGCTTTGGAAAGCACACCTTGCTTCCACTGTCCTTCCTTGCCTAGGTGCGCAGGAGGAGGCCAAGCTGTGGGAAAGACGATCTCATGAGTCCTTACATTAGCCTGCTTTTTCCTCTCTATGGGGAGTGGCAGGCGACCACCAAAGAGGATCCTTCAGTCATCGTGGGTTCCACTTCTCACACCAAAGAACCCTGCAGTGGTGTCCCCCCACCTTCCTGGAGTGAACTGAACCTCTGGACCTGGCCTTTGGGCTAGGAGATCGGTGTCCAGAAAACAGAGCTTAGTTCTGCTTTTTGTGAAAGCTGTCAGCCTCAGCGTTATCTGTCCTGTTAATCAGAGACACCCTTTGTGTAGTGCTGAAGACAAAGGAAGATTTCTGTTTGTGTTATTCCTCGTCCAGGTCACTCAAGTGCCAGATGAATTCTTTTTTCCATTTGATCTTGGGGCTTCCCAGATGGAAGGTAGCCAGTACATTGCAGAAATTTTCCAGGTCCTTGAATACTGAGTGATGTTACAAGATGCATTAAAACCTACCCCTCAGGAAAAATATATATTTAACATCCACCTGTCTGCTCTAATTACTTGTTCATTGCATATTGTCTTGCATTTCCTCTCTGTTTCAGGCTGTCAGTTCAAAAAAGCAGTGACTGCCTCTTGTCATACATATACGGCAATGCCTCTTACCACTCAGAATTATAAGAACAAGGCTTACATATTGCCTTTTTCAAAATGTCCTGAGGATATCTTTTTATTTTTATTGTCTAATATGCTGCAGTGCACTGACATCATTGCTGGACAACTCTATTCTGGGATTAGGAGCAAGACAGCTTTGCCATGTTAGCACCAAGCCCTGCTGAGAATCTGGGTTCCTCAGCTCAGGCAATATGGCTACGTTGCTTTCAGCTCTGAACTGAAGTGAGCACCCTGAAAAGCTCAGTGTTGGATGAATGTGAGAGCTTGGGAATCACTACACTGTAATCCACACTGGCCTGGTGACATAACCTCAAATGACTTTGGATTGTGGCTTGGGTAAAAAAAAAAAAGTGAGATTCCCTGTCTAAAATTAGTGAGAGGTCCCTGAAAAATTTTGCCATCGTTCCTCTCACTATTTGGTACGGAGCCATGATGGCATCGAAAAAGCACCCGCTGCACTTCTACTTTTAGGAAGTTGGTGTCTGGGGACTCTCACAGCCTGTGTGAACCATCGATGGCATCAAGTCAGCACAGCCCTTCACCATCATACTGAAAGAGGAAGGAGGACAGCAGTGGAGCATTCAGTTGCTAAATAGACTTTAAATATATATCAAAGTCTTCATGTAAGCAACTGTCATCAGCTGCTACGTGACTGTGTGAGATGCTGTGGTTTGGAAGAGAAAGTAGCTGATGATCCATGGGAATTTTTCAATAAAGCCACTGCCTGTACTTTCTTCACTCCTTGTTTCTGTGATATTAGATTTGACACAGCTGTTGCTTGCAGGGCTTTTCTTTGAAGAGTCAGAAAATCCTAAAGCTGTCATTTAGTGAGTGATAGTCTTCTATAAACTATCTGGACTTCTACAAATATTGCTGACTCCATGCAGGGTATTATTATCTAATCTCCCAGGGAACATCTCTAATCATAGTCTACCCGCCCATGTCAATCTAGGACACATCCAACCCTTAGAAATAACAGTAGAGAAATTATAAAATGTTCTAACACATGGAGTTGGCAGACCGCGAGACAAGATCACAAACTGTGCAAAATGAACAGTTTGCAAGTGAATGTTCTTCTCTCTTTCCCCCATCAAAGCATTGGCTGAGCATCTTACGATGACTTCCAAATAACAAACCAGACTTCTTTCTTTTTTTTTTCCTTCTAAATGAATTTCCCCTTTAATCAGGGCTGCCTAATTGACAGTAACACAAGCGCCTGCGGTGGACCATCTTACGCTCCATGACCAAAGTGGTCTCTTCTTTTTTTTCATTATGAATTCATGAACAGTTTTCCAGTTGAAACAGGTCTGAATGTGATCTGAGAATGGGTGTTGTTTAAGTCCGTTGTGGAACAACTGCAACACCTAACCATAACCCCTTTATACAAGCAAACAGTGAAGCAGAACAGATGCTAGGGGGAACTAGATGGTTCTATTCATCCTGATCTTAATTGGGTTCACTATTCAGGAAATGGCTCATGAATGTCAGGGAAATTGTTTTCTTAACTTCTGGGCCGGCCTTAATACACGTCTTCGTTGAAAATGCTATTCATTGCACAAGAGTCTAACTGCAAAGTCTGAATTCGTGATAAGTCCCTGTACCATGGTGGGGGGGGTGAGGGGGCAGTTCTCTAAGTCTGTTCACTTAAAGAAAAAAAAAAAAGAAAAATTAAGAAGTGTTCCCTGGTAGAGCACACAGGTAAGACACACAGCAGGCTCTTCCTGTACACCAGGTATATGACTTACGAACACCAGCTTGCATTGTTTGGCTGAATACAAAGTGTTTCACATTCAGCATAGGCAAACACATGGCACTGGCAACATTCCAGGTAAACAGGCTTGCACAAACAAGATGATAAATATATGGCTAGTATTGGTTGTCATTGCTGTTACTTATTATTTATGGAGAAACCTTGAAGTGCGATTGCGTATGAGATACGAAACTTTTTGTTGCAGCGGTAGTTAGAACTTGGCAGGCGTTTCCAGGTTTTCACCCTAACATGTAATCAGTTATGCAGAGTAGAGCTGCCACCTTTGAGAGTAGATTCTGGCCTATATACACAATTCCAGGAAGAAGTTTAGTGTTTGCGACTCCTAACAAGCACTTCAGCTTCAGCAAAAGGATGGTACTTGCTGAAATAAGTGGGTTATAAGCCACTTGTAAGTCTCCATCCTTGGAGATACTCAAAAGCCATCTGAGTACAGTCCTGGGCAACCTGCTCTAGGTATCCCTGTTGGATTGGACCAGATGATCTCCAAGATCCCTTCCAACCTCAGCCATCCTGTCATTCTGTTTCCTCTTGACTTGCTTCAGGAGCTTTAAAAGCCACCATGTATTCGATCTATAATTCTAATTACAGAGCTGTAACCTCCATTGCATTTTTTATGGGACACGTGTAGCACTCAGGCTTGCAGGTGACACTTTAAGAGCCAGAAAATATTCAATCCATTCAACATGAAGAACCTGAATGAGTCAGCATAGCTGTTGTAGGAAGAGACAATTGCCTTTGCAGCTCCATTCAGAAAAACTGAACTTAGGAAAAATGACTTGTGGTAAAGGCACTGATTTTGGGGTTTGTTTTATTTTTATTTTTAGCAGTGTGTGTGTGTGTGTGTGTGTGTGTGCGCGCGTAAATTAAATGGGGATGCTTTTGAAAGGAGGAAATTTGACAGAGTTTTCTATTGCTCTAAACTAACACTTCCTTCTCCTACGAGAGAGCTACTTAGAGAATATTTCCTAACATATCTATATAGATTTCCATTCATCTTCAGCTGCATTGAAACCATTTTCAATATGTTATATGCTTAGTAAGGATGTTTAATAGAAAATGATGTAAACACATTAGTGACTCCCTTTCTGAATTAAAATAACAACATGGAAGCAAAAATATAAGTATAGATTTATTAGAGAAGTTATCTAAAATACAATATCATTTTCCTCTTTAAATTAGAGCATATATTATTTCAATGAAAAGATATTTTGTATTATTCCTATGGTAATTCCAACTTTAAAGATAATGCTTAATTTAGAACATTTTTAATTAAAAAAAAATCCAACACTACCAATAAGACATAATCAAAGTTGTTGATAGAACGGGTAAAAATGTAAAACAGTCTCAAAAATATTTACATGTCAATCTCTTAAAATCTACGAACTCTAATTCTTAATATTAATTTTACTTTACTTGCTCAAAATATGCTTTTTTCCTAAATCATACCTAGAGTCTGTATTCCTGTGCTTTTCACAAAGCTTCAAGTTATCGTTAGTTATGTGTACTATCACACCAGTGGATGAGGTTTCTTAAAATGGCTTATTTTGCTATCACAATAATCCTCTCCCAAGCAGCCAACACGCTGTTACACCCAAGTGTCAGTCGCAGCAATAGTCAGCAAAATGCACACAGCCACCCCCCAACACCCATGCCTCTCCCAACCCCACACCTCATGAACCCTTTCCTATTTGGCCAAGAGCCTTTCACATTTCATTAGCTGGCGTCTTAGTTGCAGAGCGAAAGAAAGAATGGATCTCGGAGACAAGATGTTGCCAGGGCACACATGGCAAAGGTTTGATTTGTGCTTAGCCAAAGGGGCTCCTCACAAACACGGCAACTTCTAAACACACTCGGCGCTGAGGTTACTGGAAGGAAGCTCTGACTTCTCTGCTCTTCAAAGGCTGACATGGGCGCCAGTTGTCCACCATAGGGCACACGGGCTCATTCTCAGCACTGAAGCAAAGGCCACGGAGTTTGCAAATCTGGGGAGAAACAAAAAAAAGGCAGAAACATCCTCAGATGCACACTCTCATTTCAGCAG